ATTCATATCTACTTTCTGTCATTTAGGCGGGAAAATAGGGAGACTTTGTTGTTGACATTGAATATGGTTTCTTATAGATCTATAGACCTAAGATAAATTTATAGATTTAGGAATTCTTTTTAAATGGATCATGACAAATAAAGATTTAGATTTCAGTGCAGTATTAAGTCTGTAGATCTATCTATGTTTGATTATCACCAAAGACAAGAAAGGTTAATATTTACATGAAATCTATGGCAAAATGTTTTAAAATTAATGAAAAATTTCTTTTTATTAAAATTTAAGATAGAAACTGGTTCAAATAATAACACAATATTTGTTCTTATTAATTTTATATCTCCTTATGACAAGAGACATAAAAATTGCAGTAACTAGAAATATAGCTAAGCGACGCGACGGGACGCGTTACCCTGGTGCTATCCAAAAATCCTGAGGAGAACACTGGAGCTACAAATCAGATTCCTGAAATTTGGTATCAGGCGTCATTTGAGCATGTTATATTGAGTCGTGCATTTTAAAGATCTTTGTCTTTAGAGTTCCTTTTTACTTTCAAGTACTTATGTATTCTTTCTCATAATGGCAATGTATGAAATTATCATGTTTTTCATGAAAAATGTATGTCAGGACTTCTTCATGTGTGTATTAATCTTCGTGTGATCATGATATAGTCATTTACCATGTGATATGCTTTTACATCCATCACTCATCACTCACTGTCAAAAACTACTGAATAGAATCAACTTCATACTTGGTCAGCAGCTCATGATGAATTGTTTCATTGTAGATCTTTCAGAATTTACATTATGTTTTCTGATTCTGTCATAAAGCAAGTGGGTGAATGCTAAGCGCAACACATGCATTCTTTTAGTTGAATAACAGAAAATCAACTTATTATTTAAAAGTTTTTATTATGACCACAAAATTTGTGTGGCAGTATAATGGTATGAAATTAGTGACACTTGGTTTCCAAAAAATAACCTGAGAAAAAGCCTACTGATCTCTATGAAAATTTACCAAAAAGTCCCATACTATAAATGGTAAAAAAAAGGATTACAGAAAAAGTTTAAGTAGAATACAAAGAGCTTTAAGATTGCCAAAGGCACAGCTTCAACCACCCAATGAGCATCAAATTGACTAAAACCACTGAGTTTGTTGATAAATACAACAAAAAACCAAACAATACATTTATACATCTCAGATATTGTAGGCAAAAAGCAAAGGTCAACTATGTTTCGTGTAATCAATAGTCTGTCTACCAATTCCCATAATTAATTAATTGGGTTTTAAATTTTCATCAGGTTTAATTCTATCTGGCCTGATATTTTCAGACGCATCAGACACCCCCAGAATTGGTAATTTTGAGGAAATTATGCAGTTTTTGGTTATTATCTTGAATTTTATAATACTAGATGGAGATAAACTGTAAACAGCAAATTTGTTCAGCAAAGTAAGATCTACAAATAAGTCAACATGACCAAAATTGTCACTTGACCCTTTAAGGAGTTATTGCCCTTTATAGTCAGTGTTTAACAATTTTTGTAAATTTTTGTAATCTTTTACAAAAATCTTCTCTGAAACTACAGAGACAAATTCAACCAAACTTGGCCAGAATCATCATTAGGGTAATTAGTTTTAAAAATGTGTCTGATGACCCAACCTTCCAACCAACATGGCCAACATGGCTAAAGATAGAACATAGGGGTAAAATGCAAGTTTTATAATGACCTCTACAAATTGTCCATATACTTCAAAACTGTTAGACAAATTCTTTTAAGTGTTATTGCCCATAAATGACAATTTTTTACAATTTTTTTTCAAAGGGCCAAGTGAGCTTTTCTCATCACTTGGCGTCTGTCGTCGTCGTCAGTTAACTTTTACAAAAAGCTTCTCTTCTGAAACTACTGAGCCAAATACAACTAAACTTGGCCTAAATCATCCTTAGGGTATCTAGTTTAAAAAATGTATCTGATGTAACTGATTCTTTAGTTATCTGTGTAATGTTTTGTGTATCGTCTTTTTAGCTCACCTGGGCCCGAAGGGCCCCGTGTGAGCTTATGCCATCGCTTGGCGTCCGTCGTCGTCCGTCGTCTGTCGTCGTCGTCGTAAACTATTTCAAAAATCTTCTCCTCTGAAACTACTGGGCCAAATACCTTCAAACTTTAACTAAATGTTCCTTAGGGTATCTTGTTTATAAATTATATCCGAAGTTTTGATCCATCGACGAACATGGCCGCCATGGCTAAAAATAGAACATGGTGGTAAAATGCAGTTTTTGGCTTATATCTCTGAAACTAAAGCATTTAGAGCAAATCTGACATGGGTTTAAATTTTCATCATGTTTAGATCTATCTGGCCTGAAATTTTCAGACGCATCAGAGAACCCATTTTTTGGGTTGCTGCCCCCGATTTGGTAATTTTGAGGAAATTTTGCAGTTTTTTGTTTTTATCTTGAATATTGTAAAAAATGAGATAAACTGTAAACAGAAAAATTGTTCAGCAAAGTAAGATCTACAAATAAGTCAACATGACAAAAATTGTCAATTGACCCCTTAAGAAGTTATGCCCTTTATTATAAATTTTTTTGTAAATTTTTGTAATCTTTTACAAAAATCTTCTCCGTTTAAGCTACTGGGCCTAATAGAATTAAACTTAGCCACAATTTTCTATAGGGTATCTTGATTGAAACATGTATCCAATGACCCTGTCATTCAACCAATATGGAAGCCATGGCTAAAAATAGAACATAGGGGTTTACTATAGAAGCCTAAAGGAAAATTGTAAAAAACTAAAGTTATGTACTAGCCTGCAGGGCTAGTGAAATTATTATTCTACTAGTCCTCTTTTCAATTCACTAGCCCTCCTGCACGACCCTATCTAGGAGGGTCTGGGGGCATGCCCCCCCAGAAAATTTTGATACAAATGAAGCTAAATCCTGGGTTCTGGAGCATTTCCAGAGGGTTTTGAACATGTTTTGTTTCAAGAAATTTCACTGGTTTGCTTATAAAAAATACCAAAAAAAAAAATTAAAAAAATCATATTTTAATCATATTTATTAAGAATGTGTTCGACTTATTTTGAAGACCCCTTTAGATCATTACTTCATCATTATCCTCATTTTACTTATCATTATTACTAGTGTCTTTAATGAAGATGGATAAGTTAGGGATTTAAAAATACACTCACAAAAGAGGAAAGCTTTGCCCTTGCTGTTTTTTGTCATAATTCTTCATGGACTCCTTCTTTTCCCTTGTTGTTTCAGTTTATTTTTTTTTTTGCAGGACAAGATTTTATTCCTAAAAATCTGTATAGTTTTACCAGAGACCAAGGAATTGTATAGTATACAAATCCTTGCAGAGACCTATAATTTTGTTTTTATGACAATAATTCAGTGATATTGTTTGCCTCAAATTACATTCGAAATACAGCCTTTTCCCCCTAGAGAAAATTCCCAATTACTAAAAAACTGGCTTAAAATTCCTCCCAATAAGTTGTACATTTTTCCCAAACAGTGATGGTATCGGTAGTAATGTATGTAAATTTCGTATTCATGTTTTTATTTTGATATTATGATAGCACTTTTGAGATCCAGGTTTCTGATTAGAATCATCACGGCGTTTGTAACACACGTGGTTAATTCAATGTATTAAGTACCATCATTGTTTCTGTTTCTTTCCCCTCCCCAAAAAGTACCTTTCATGTTAAAAATGTCTGACAATCAAAATTTACGTGAATTAACTGTAATTTTTACTAGCCTCTGGCTAGCGGACTAGCGTTAGTGTCGAACCCTGCTACAATGGAATGACCTGCTTTTATTTTGGGTCAAATTAAAACAAACTTGGCCTCAATCATTATAAGGGTATCCAATACTATTAATTATGATTTTAACCTTATTTTAGGCAAACAAAAAATATATGTCTGTTTAAGGTTACATCCTTTAAAAAAATAGGGTAGGTAGGTATAGGTATTTCCATTTTTTTTTTTGGCGAGATGTGTGATGTTGTTACATGTTGTTTTAACTAATATTAAGTGACTATATTAACCTTTTACTGTCATTATAAACTTAAAATAAATTGTTTTGTCCTTTCTATTATATAGGTTTATTAATGTACATGTATGCAGGCATATATGCAGAAATGAATTAATTCACCTTGTTGAATTTCAGTCTTGCAAGTCACCGTTACTTTGTATGTTTTTGCAGGTTGTTTACTATGGTACAGATCAAACACATCGGTACCAATTATTAATTTGTTTTGTAACGTTGTCATAATAGATTTTGTAAGCATGTGGTCGCATTTTTTTAACTTTAATGCGACCACGCTTGCTGCCTCAGCCTATTGGGCCATGCAGGCTGCCATTGAGATCTAGATCGTAAAAACACTTCAATATCGAGTACGCGATTTTAAGATTAAAGTGCTCAGATGATCACGCACCTACTTTCACTTTTGTTTTAAACTGAAAGTAGGCGTTTCCGGCTTTGTACTTTCACTTTTGATTTCATTTTTGAATAAGGGTCAGCACCCCAAAATAGGGACGGTCGAGTAACCGTAAACGGATAATATTTTATTTTGGCCTTACATGATATCCAAAATAACAGTTAATACAGGTGAGCGAAACAGGCTCTGAGAGCCTCTAATTGCCGACTATCATGAAAACTATGATACTTAGAGAGAAACATTTTTTTTCCTTATGACTTATATGATTTAAATTATAATAGATAAATAGACACTTTAAATCAAAAAAATGATCAGCATGGCAAGGTCTATTTAAAAGTCAAATTTTGCCGATATAGTTAGCAGAGCTGATATTTTACAATATCAATATGCAGACAACCTGATAATGGGTACTTATTTCTATCATGTAAGGAGAGATTTTCAGCATTGTTTTTTCCATTTAAAAAATCTCTGCTTACCTTTAGTCTGAAAAGTAGTTTGATACTTTTCTAGTTGATCAAATACTTACGGCTTTGATTCTAGAGATTTTCATCAAAATTTCATTTACAGTCTACAACCAATACAGATGAAGCATCTGATGATAAAGGTACATATATATTTATATCATTTAATTTAGATGTTGCTTGCTATCCTATTTCCCAAATTAAGGCAATTACAAAAGTTATTATTTTGTTATTTCAATTTTGAAATTTCAATCCTGGTACATGTTTCTAGGATGAGTTTATTCAAAAGAAAAATTGATAATCAAATGTTGGCTATGATGTAAATGAGAGACCAACCCTTAGACACTCCTTAAATGACAATGCATAATTATGAGGGAAAGTATATCAGTAAATTCAGAGATTATTGGGTCCAATCTTTCATTTTGATAGTTGATCAATGTAACAAATTTTTGTAATTAAGGGAAATGCTGTGTGTTACTCAGAATTTAAAATGCAGTTACTAATTAATTTGGGGCTAATCCCTTTTTCTTTATAAATGAATAATGAAAAATACTATTCTATGAGAATCAGACTAATTAAAAAGGAAAAGAAAGCATGGCTCAATTGATTTTTTATTTTTTAACGATAATTTTTTAATTGACAGAAAAGTACATAACCAAACTCTGTCGAAACTTTACGATTGCATCTAAATGTCTGTTTAAGTAAAACAAACTGAAACATCAGACAAATCTTACAAATTTATAGTAAATGATATAACAAGTGTACCATGATTCTGTGTGCTTTCTCATTTTAGACAGTCTTCCAAAGCATAAAGTAGAGCGTGAGGTTGTAAAGACACAAATGCCTCTTATCTCTCACTCCAATGATGATACAGAACATGATTCGAGTCAAGATAAAAATCACTACGATGCTGATGACCTAGAGTCGCATGATCTTTCAAGTTCTGTGAGCAGTCAATTAACAAATCCTGCAGATTCTAGTTCTATTAATAGTTCTCTTAAATCTCATGACAGTATTGTACACCATGAAGATATTGGAAGTACTCATGTACACAGTTCATATATTCAGTCACATGGCAAGTCAACAGACCCTGGAAATTCTTCTGAAGTCCTTTCTGCTGACAATAATGCGCCATCAATGGATGACCTTGACCTACTTTCAACAAAGCAGAAAATACTTAAACATACTGAAAGGGATGATTTTAGACAAGGCAGTTTATTGTGTAAGTAAATTTCATGAACAAAATATCTCCCAAATAGTTTGGTTTATACTTTATTTAGTTCATATATGATTCATTTATTTACTGCAGATTCAGTTTATTCAATGTATACTAATTTGTGGAATTCATGGGTATAGGAAATTAATAAATGTTTTGAACTGAGAAAGCTATCAATATAGTACAGATATATGTTTTTATGTAACCCGTTGAGAATATTTGCCTGTTTGTATTAGATATAATTGTAATGCTTTTTTCAGTCCTCTACCGACGAAGTCGAAGGGGACTTTAGGATTGCTCTCCGTTCGTCTGTCTGCATGGATTTTTCTAGCATTCCACAGGGTCCATTATTCGGACCCATTCCCAATGGCAATTACCCTTCATTTTTCCTAATTTTGGGAGCAAAATTCCCAAACGATCTCAAAATTTATTTTCATCTTTATTATTCATGACAGCGATGTTCATTTTGTTCAACTGCTAGCTTTATGCTGAAAATCGCCAACAAGTAATGTGTACATCCGAGTAAAATCGTATCTGACTGACAAAAACAACATTGAAAAACAATGGTACCATAAACCGGAAATGAAGACAATTACAATACCGGATCAGATTCCGGGGGTGGATAAGGGTAATTCCAGGTTTGCCGATCAAATACATCTATGATGATGAAATATAAACTCTAGAATTGAAAACTAAAAGATATATGGAAAAGAAAGATAAAGCAGGAAATATTTTATACAGAAACTCAAAATTACTTTTAGTTCACAAATTTTCATGTCAAAATCCAATAAAATGTGACAGTAATTTTCTTTATCATTAATAAATGTTGATATTACATGTAGATATGTTTTTATAGGTAGTGTAAACATATTACTACAATTCCAAGAGGTAATTTCTTCTCAATTTTGAAGGGCCAGTAAAAATCTTTCTTACTTTATTTTCACAATAAAAGATAACTTTTAATGAACCAAACACACTAAAACTCAAATCTGGTTTATTTGCTGTTTTCCCAATTTCATTGAAAAGCGTGTGAAAAAATTCCCAAAACTGGCCAGGGTCCTTTTTCCCAAAATACCCAGAAAAACCCCTGGGACTCTGTCTGCCTGTCTGTCCATTGTCAGCACGGCAAATCAGTTTTCCACACTTTTTTTCTTTATGCTTGAAGATATTGATTTGATATTTGATATATTGTTTTATCATGGCAAGTTACAGGTCCAGTTTGAATCTTGTTCCGGTCTGATGATTTTGTGCAGAGTTATGGTCCTTAGACTAGAAAATTCACTCATATAATCAGTTTTCCGCACTTTTTTTCGTCATGCTTGAAGATATTAATGTGATAATTGGTATATAGTTTTATTATGACAAGTTACAGATCAAGTTCGAATTTTGTTCCGGTCTGATGACTTTGTGCAGAGTTGTGGTCGTTGGACTTAGGAAATTCACTCAAATATGCAGTTTTCCACTCTTTTTTTCATCATGCTTGAAGATATTGATTTGATAATTGGTATACAGTTTTATCATGACAAGTTACAGATCAAGTTAAATTTTGTTCCGATCTGTTAGTTTATTGCAGAGTTATGGTCCTTGGACTTAGGAAATTCACTAAAATAATCAGTTTTCCGCACTTTTTTTGTCAAATTGCTTGAAGATATTGACTTGACACTTGTTGTATAGTTTACACCATGACAAGTTATAGATCAAGTTAGCATTTTGTTCCAGTACAATGAATTTTAACTGGTAGGGGACTATGTATTGCCATGCAATACTCTCAGAATGCTTGTTACTAATATGTGTGTGGCTCTGATCTGGCTGTGGTTTAACATCTTAGAATTGAGATGATTTTATTCATATTTATATATTATTTATATCAACATTATAATGTCAATTATCAAAATCATTGTAATAAATTACTTTGCTCTTCATGGGCCATTTAATTGGAATAAAAATATCTTATCTTATCTTATCTTATCTTATAGGTTATCCATTAATTAAATATTGTATGATACTTCAAATTAAATAAAAAAGTTATGTTTAATATACTTGAATGACTAAATTTTACTATGAAAAAGGTGTACCAGAGCTTCCAAAAAGGTCCTATTGTCCAGACAAGTCAAGACCTCTAAGCTAGCATAGGACCGACAGGACATGTCCTGTAAAAATATATTCTGTCCTGTCGATTTTTGTTAATTTTGTAATACATTCCTAAGAAAAATTTGAAGAATCATCAGTTTGGTCCTGTAAATGCCAAAGCCCAATTTCTATGACTGCAAGTCTGACAAATTATATTCTGGACAGGTTGTGCCAAGCCTGATCTGGGCATTAAAAATGGGTTTGCCATTTTCAAATAATTCAGAAGAAAATTGAAGTTAAACACAATTTTTTTTACCTTACCATTTATATTACACATACACACATGTCCAGTCATAGAAGTGACATTTATATATGATTAATTACTATAAAACATGCCACCCTCATTGCAATCAAGGGTTATTATTTAATTAGTATTCTGCAAGAATGCCTGGCAGCAACCCGTACGAAATTATAAGGCGTATTACGCCTTGAAATCTGGCGTAAACCAGGCATAAACCTGGCGTAAGTGGTAGTTACGTGTCCAGATCCACGTGTAATGGAGCAGGAAACGTAAATTTGTAGCATTTCCAGGCGTAGAAAAAAGTGGTAAACCTGACGTAAAATAAAATAAGCAAGGCGTAAATTTTCCTACGGGCGTAAAACTGTTGGAAGGGCGTAAATCATAATACCCATAATGCTTTGTTTAAAGGATCATGGGAATTTTATTCAAAATTTGGCTCTCTGGTATTAGCTTGCAAGAGTTGGACATATGGCAGCTTGAAATATTCAGGGGAAATTAGCTTTTTTTGTGCTTTTTGGAAGAATTTAAAATTGGAATTATGGAATCAAATTGATGAATGAAAATTGTGAAATGAAAGGAAAGTAGTATACATGGTAAAGAATAATTATGTGAGTAAACTAAGTTATTAAGTTTTTATTTTTTAACATTATTTCAAATTCTGGAAATCCTCACTCATCCTTGGATAATAACATTTAAATCTTTCACAAGTTAAATGACAATATTATCATTGATTTTTTAGTTCAATTTGATAATGACATTAATTTTCAAAACAACTTAATCCTAATGCTAGATTTATTTCAAAAAAAATTAATTGTCATAATTCTTATATGTCTTTATTTAAATTATAGCTTCTTCAATTGTTAAAATTATTTCAAGTTTTATGTCAAACAGTGAGAAATTTAATCAACAGTACAAATTTGTATCAAATACACAAAATACACAGCACGGGTAATACACTGATTTAAATTAAGTGTAGTATTATGTAAGGACATTACGCCTGGTTTATTTATTGACCAGGCATACTCATTTGCATATTACGCCTGGTTTTCTGTTCATTTAAATATTACGCCTAATTTAACGCCGGGTTTCCGCCTCAGTTACGCTTGGTTTCCGCCTGGTTAACGCCTAGTTGACGCCTGGACATGCATTCCTTAAACACTGCAATGACGCCAGGATAAAATATGATTTCTATGACTGGTTTTAGTGTCATTTACAGGCGTCACATTTTGTACAGGAGTTACATTCTTGTTGCATACTGTACATTTCACATACCCCTTGTGCCCCTTAATTTTGTTTCTCCAATACTTAACATAAATATTAGGAATGGGTTGGAATTCCTGATGAGTGCTCAACCCTTACATCCCATCTCCTTTGTTCTACCAGGGGTGATCTGAGCCGGATCACCCCTACCAGATCACCCTACCTTGAGTTTCTTTGTTTTGCATGCTTTCCTTTGTTTTGTAACATTTTGGCGGGACTGTCAAATCCACAATAAACTTAGAATTATTTATACAGAAAAGACTTACTTTCAAAATGTATGTAGAAAAAATCCAGTAAATAGGCTGGGATTCGAACTCAAGACCTTTAGCATATAAACCCATGACTCAAACCTCTACACCAGGATGACTGGATACGAACTCACTGTTAATTTAATATACTCAAACATTGTGTTCGGGGATCATTAAGAGTATATACTATATAATTATATATAAAGTATATTATAAGGATTGTGTGGCGTTTTAAATTAGATTTTATGAAGCGTTAATGTTTATGTAACTAATCTAGAACAGCTGGGATGTAAAATAGTTATCCCATTCGGACTTGGTGTGTCAGTTTAAGATCACCCTGTGGCCTACGGCCATCAGGATGATCTTACACTGACACACCGCGTCCTCATGGGATAACTATTACTTCCATAATCTCTGACAGTGGTGTAATAGCATAAAATAACTGTAAAAATCAATTAGAAATAGGTTTGCTCATCAGATCAACATGCAATCTAAAAACAACTAATGAAAGACAAAAGACACTAAGTACCAATCTAATTGTACTTGCAGTTACTGAAAACTAGTTCAAAGCCAACAACTACTAACAAATAAACCATGTTCTCCGTGACAGATTTAGTGTTAAGATGTCATAAAAAGTAATGCAGTATGAGGAGTAGTTTTGCCATGCTAAATTATAAGTGCATAATATTGATAGGTTTTAGGACCATATGTTTTTATGAATGAATAACAAAACATATTTAGTTATATATCATGTATATGTTTAAACAAGTTCAGTGTTTGTTTGTTATTTCGGAGGAACCATGTGTTGATGATTGATGTGATCTGTTGTGCTATGCAATATCTGTGTGATTCCTGCTTCTAGCGCATATTACAAGGTTGGTAGGCAAGACTATTTTTGAAAACATCGTCTTCAGCATCAACCTTTTTGTAGGTCAGTGTAAGATGAGCAACTAATTATGGTCACTGATAATTGGTATGCCACAATAATTGGTATGCAGTTGGGTCAACATTATAACATAACTAATATCCAGGTAGATTATTTGCTCCTGCACTTTCAGTCATGGTTTATTGACTTTGAATAATTTACATAGTTTTTATGTTAAAGTATGCCATTTCAATTTCAACATTTCCATGATAATGTCAAAATAAGATACAGACTATACCTTTCTCTTTGTCAAAAATTTGTACATGTATACATTATATTGTATAAACTTCATACATTGATGGTTTAGTCTACTCCATGAAATCAAGGTTGTAAGCTTTGGGAGATTAATCCATATTGCATTTCTATTACAAACAGGTGAATCTAGTTTACTTGAAAGCAAACAGAAAATGTGTGATGGTAGTCTACCTACTGAGCAAGTGCTGTCTTCTAAACTTCAGGTAAGACACATTGATCTTGAAAGATTTTTTTCTGTTTGGGCCCTGGGCCCCCCTAAAAATTTCAATAGGCCATTTTTGTATTAACTAGAACACACAAGCGACATGGCAGGCCCGTGACTGAATGAAAGTTCCTATGTCTTATTTTTAGCCTGGATTTTTAGTTCTCTTATTGTTATTTGATAAAGTCATACTAATTATAAGGTGCACAGTTTTCTCTGCTCTCAAAATCTTTCTGTTTGAACCAGTCCTGGTTTTCTCACTACAATATAGTAGTGGTACTCCATATTGTGGAGGAAAGAATAAAGAAGAACTACAACAGGAAACTACAGGTGACATATTCTATTGGTACATATATCAGTATGGTATTAGACCCAGAACTTGTGAATTATTGGTAATATTAATTATGTGGGGAAAAAAAGGGCCTGGAATGTTGTAATTTTTATACGCCTGTCAATTTTTGACGGGACGTATTATGGTATACAAATGTCCGGTGTCCGTCCGTCTGTCTGTCCGGCGTAAACATGTCGCACCGTAACTTGAGAATGACTTATCTAAATTTCATGAAACTTAACATAGATGTTTCTTATGATGGTCAAACGATCTGTATACTTTTTGGTGAAAATAAGATTAAAACTTTTTGAGTTACGGAACTTATTTAGTAACTAAAACAGGTATGTGTTTTTTTTCACATGTCGCACCTTATCTCAAAAAAAATTTATGATTATTGCTTAAAACTTTACACACTTCTTAGTTATATTTATCTTAAGATCTGTATACTTTTTGGTGATGATTCAAAATTTTATTTTTGAGTTACTGAGTATTTTGTCAAAAAAGGGGGATGGGTTTTTCACATGTCACGCCTTATCTCAAAAACGATTTATGATTATTGCTTAAAAATTTTACACACTTCTTAGTTATATTAATCTAAAGATCTGTATACTTTTTGGTTTTGATTCAAAATTTTATTTTAGAGATATTGAGTTTTTGTTAAAAAAAAAAGGGGGTTTTCGCATGTCATGCCGTATGTCAGAAACTATTTATGCTTATTGCATAAAAATTCACACACAAGACGACGGGCGTATCATGCGCTCATGGCACAGCTGTTTATTAATCAACACCATTGTCCTACATTAGTTATAGATAAAGTTGAATTCTTAATTCGTTGTTTTTACATATCATGCTGGCTAATAAATTTGACCTTGTTATTTTAGTATTTATGATGAGCCATGTTGTCAAATGAATGGGTCATTCATATATAACAAAAAAATAAGAAAGCATATATTTCAAGAAAGAGGTACTAACCTGTATGATTTTAATTGATATTGTTCCTATGCTTTTAGCTTCAGTGAATAAATGTTTATTTAGTTCATGGTGATTTATGTGACAACCCAGCAAACACAATTACATCAGTACAACGTAACTTTAAAGTAATTTTTGGTTGCGTTTACGTCATTAACTAACATTATTTTTAGGTAGAAATGGATGGTATCAAATACATCTTCCTGAAGTAATTTTGACGTCGGTACAACATATTACTGACCTTGAAATTACTTAATTTTACTAACAATTCCATATACAGACATAATAGTAACATCAAAATGACGTATTTTCAGTCAATTGAATCACGTCGTTCTGACATCGTTTCTCCTCATCATGATACTATTTATTAGGATACTACGTTTTAACTGTGTTTTGACCTCATGTTTTTTAATAATGACAAAATTCAAGTCATGTTTACATGTAATGAACCGAGCTCACCATTCATCTCTATTTCTATCAGTATTTTAATCACCTGATCCATTAATATTGAAGGAAGAATTGATTTGTCACCAAGGTCCCACAGAGCACTGTTAGATAAGGGGGAGCTAACTCGTATGTGCTGGAACCTAGGGACAGGGGGTCAGTCTATCGCTAGACTTAATGTTCTGATAGGCATAGCTAAAATGAAAGGAAGGTTTTCATAATTTAATCAACGATAACAATTTAGATGGATGATGATAACAATCAATTAGTAAACAATGCCAAATAATAATAATAATTAAAGTACAAAGTAAAAAATCTAAATATCAACTCCAAAGTAAAACTATTTCTCCTTACAATGTAAAATGTAAAATAAATGCCAAAACTACTAAATCATAAAATGAACTTAATCTCAAAATCAAAATGTAAAAGTCTCAAAAATAAAAGATTCTCAAAAATATTTTCCAAAGTTAAATTATGAGTCAGAGATAAATTTTGTCTCAACACTAAACCGTCAACTGGTAGACTGGTAGACAGTCTTGTAGGTCCAGTATCATGACGTGAGTAGTGAGAGGTTACGCTTCCAATACACTGACTGTTTTCTAAAAAATTATCAAAAAATAAAAGGTGAGTCAAAAATAACATTTTTGTCTAAACACTACAAAGTCAACTGGTAGACTGATCAACAGTCTTACAGATCCAGTATAGTAGACTTTAGCAGTGCAAGTTTAGGTCCCAAAAAGATGACTGATTTTCCTAAATTTTACTAAATCCAAAAATAGATAAATATGTCTCGACATGTTAATATTACTCTCATTAGCAAAAATAGACTTTAATTAACAAAGCCTAATCCTATAATGTTTTGATAAAATCTTAAACTTTTAAAGTGAAATATGCTAATTACAATTAATATTTCAAAACAAAGTGCTTTGAGCAAACTGTGACATTTTGAGTATTAATGCCACAGCATAGGTAAAAATCAATTAAAACAAAATTAATTAAAAATTTTACAAAATACAAATATAAAATTTTCTTTCTTAAAATAAAACATATTTTTTATCCAAAATAACACTAACACAAATATAAGCCAAATAACACACCATGACAGATTACCCGTCTGGAGCACATGATCTTTTTTCTGATTTTTGTGGGTTTCGTGTAACTGATTCTTTAGTTATCTGTGTAATGTTTTGTGTATCGTCTTTTTAGCTCACCAGGGCCCGAAGGGCCCCATGTGAGCTTATGCCATCACTTGGCGTCCGTTGTCGTCCCTCGTCTGTCGTCGTCGTCTGTCGTTGTAAACTATTTCAAAAATCTTCTCCTCTGAAACTACCGTGCCAAATACCTTCAAACTTTTAACTAAATGTTCCTTAGGGTATCTTGTTTATAAATTTTATCAGAAGTTTGTATCCATCGACAAACATGGATGCCATGGCTAAAAATAGAACATAAGGGTCAAATGCAGTTTTTGGCTTATATCTCAAAAACTAAATCTTTTAGAGCAAATGTGACATGGGGTAATATTGTTTAATTGGTCAAGACCTATCGGCCCTGAAATATTTCAGACGAATTGAACAACCTGTTGTTGGGTTGCTGCCACAGAATTGGTAGTTTTAACAAAATTTTGCAGTTTTTATACAACCGCAAAAAAATTTTGTGGTCATATATTGATATGACGTTGGCGTCGTCTATGCCGTTGTCTGGCGTCGTCATCCAAAGACTCATTGGTTTTCGCACTCTAACTTTAGTTTAAGTGAATGGATCTCTATGAAATTTTACCATAAGGTTCAATACCACAAAAGGAAGGTTGGGATTGATTTTGGGGTCTATGGTACCAACAGTTAAGGAATTAGGGGCCAAAAATAAGCATTTTTGTAACTTCCAGACATAACTTGTGTGTTAGTTTATGGATCTCTCTGGCATTGTACCACATCACAAGGTTCCATATCACAAAGGGAATGCTTGGATTGATTTTGGGGGTAATTGCCTCAAAATTTTAGGAATTTTAAAGGGCTAAAAAAGGGGCAAAAACAAGCATTTTTCTAGTTTCATGACAATAACTTGTGTGTAAGTGTATGGATCTTTCTGAAATTATACTACAAGGTTCCATATCACAAAGGGAAGCTGGAATTGAGTTTGGGGGTAATTGCCCAAATCGTTTAGGAATAAGGGGCCAAAAATAAGCATTTTTCTAGTTTCCAGACAATAACTTGTGTTCAAGTATATGGATCTCTCTGAAATTGTACTGCAAGGTTCCATATCACAAAGGGAATGTTTGGATTGATTTTGGGGGTAATTGCCTCAAAATTTTAGGAAATAGGGGCCAAAAAAACAAGCATTTTTCTAGTTTCGTGACAATAACTTGTGTGTAAGTCTATGGATCTTTCTGAAATTGTACTACAAGGTTCCATACCACAAAAGGAAGGTTGAGATTGATTTTGGGGGTTATGGTACCAACAGTTAAGGAATTAGGGGCCAAAAAGGGGCCAAAAATAAGCATTTTTGTAACTTCCAGACATAACTTGTGTGTTAGTGTATGGATCTCTCTGACATTGTACCACAAGGTTCCATATCACAAAGGGAATGCTTGGATTGATTTTGGGGGTAACTGCCTCAAAATTTAAGGAATTAGGGGCTAAAAAAGGGGCAAAAACAAGCATTTTTCTAGTTTCATGACAATGACTTGTGTTTAAGTGAATGGATCTTTATGAAATTGTACTACAAGGTTCCATATCACAAAGGGAAAGCTGGGTTTGAGTTTGGGGGTAATTGCCCTAAATGTTATGGAATATGGGGCCAAAAAAGGGCCAACAAACAAGCATTTTTCTAGTTTCCAGACAATAACTTGTGTTCAAGTGTATGGATCTCTATGAAATTGTACTGCAAGGTACCATACCACAAAGGGAAGGCTGGGATTGAGTTTGGGGGTGATGAATCATAAGGGGGTTCAAAAAATTTGTGGGGGGGGATTTTTTTTTCCTTTTTTTTTCTTTAAAATTTTCCATTTTAAATTGGTTATTTCTGATTTATATATAAAAGCAAATAAATAATAATGATATGGTTTGAATAGGTAAATTAAAAATTTTTAAGTTCTTAGACCACATTCATTCTGTGTCAGAAACCTATGCTGTGTCAAATATTTAATCACAATCCAAATTCAGTGCTGTATCAAGCTTGAATGTTGTGTCCATACTTGCCCCAACTGTTCAGGGTTCGACCTCGTATCAAGCTGCGCCCAGTGGAGCATTTTATTTGTTATTATTTTGAATATTACTATAGATATATGTAAACTGTAAGCAGCAATAATGTTCCGTAAAGTAAGATCTACAAAAAAGTTAATATGACCAAAATTGTCAATTGACCCCTTAAGGAGTTATTGCCCTTTAAAGACAATTTTACACAATTTGTTCATCAAGTTTGCTAACATTTAAAAATCTTCTCCTCTGAAATACAGGTGAGCGATTCAGGCTCTTGAGAGCCTCTTGTTTTATGTTGGCAATGGTCTTGTCCCTTTTTTATTTCTTATTCTTGATGGCACATTCTAGTAACAGCTTGATGCACTAAGACTACATGGGATGTTTCCATCAGGCTAAATTCAGAACTCAAATCATATCAAACTATAATTCAATTTGATTCTTTCATTAATTGAACAACTATGCAATGATAACGTATTAGTCAATGTTCACTACTCTCAGTATGGGTTAATCTCCTTCCAAAATTCCTAAGTACGGGAAAACTAGATTTATTCATATTCTACACCCGGTAAGTCATGTTAAGAAGTTTACTTTGCTGTTGAGCAGAATTAAAGTTATTTTCTTTGAAAATTTGGATCATGGTTGATTACATTTATTTTGTAATCAGATATACCGCACGTTGCTATCATTAACATGAAGCAAAACACCAGAGATGTACCAAACATGTAGTTGGTGATCCTTTCATTGGAGTGAAACACAACACCTTTTTGTACACAATTATGGTGACATGAAACATGATCAGAAATTCATTTCAAGATATCTAAACGTTAAAGAGCGAATATACTGTATGCCACATTGGTGCTGACATTTGTCACTCACTCCACCATTTTTTTGTCAAAATGTGCATATTGCTCATGGCGCTGGACGTTTATGATCACTGGAGACACATTCTACCTTATTGAAATAAGTTAAATTATGTATAAGTGATATAAATAAAGTATATGGTTCATAAATTTATCACACAATTCCTTACATGCACGTTAACAAAGGCAAAGGACCAGCAATCATATTGATAAAGGTCAGAGTAAGACTTTTAAAATGAAGTTGAAGCTCACATTAAAGTTCAAGAAGATCCTAGCACCTGTTTGTTTTGAAATACCTATAATATCTTATGTTAATCATGTTTGTTAGAATAATCTATCAAACTCTGTGAACAGATTTACCATAAGATGACAAATTCTTGACTCATTTAATCCTTTGATATAAAGATAGTGTTTTAACCTGCACAAAAGCTATAGTTGACATCACTATGAACTGCTCAGAGTCTGAAAATACCATATTTTGTGCTCAACAAGAAGCACAGGTTAAACTTGACACGACTTGACATAATATCAACTGTATTTGACAGTACTTGACTTTGATCTAGACTTTAATTAATAATTCTGATTGAGTACTTGATACTCTTTGTATCGTCTGAATATAGTATTGACAAATGCTTGACAAGTCTTAGCCAGTCTCAACTCAGTCTTGACTAGTCTCTACTCAGTCTTGACCAATCTTGACCTTTAATTTAGTCTTTTATAGTTTTGACTTGGTCTGAATCAGCCATCTGGGTCAATATCCCTAATGCGCCTCCAATTGAGGAACACAAAAGATGTGGGTAAACAAAAAATCTCTGTGTAGTGATATTGGACATGTTTCTATTTTTAACAAGTGACTGAGCTTAACCATTTGTGTTGATTAAAAAAGTAGATGACCATAGAATAAAAGTGTAAAAACTATGGAGTTATTAAATGTATTCAAAGTATTAAATTTTCAAAGAACTTATAGTGTGAAAAAAAGGGATTTTTTACCACAAGGAGCTGAGCATCAGGAAAGGATTTTTGGGGTATGCTAATTTACAGAAAAAATTAATCTCACTTCGTACCTCGAAAATTAATCACATATGTGAAAATGTGTCAGCTTCGAAACAAGCCATCATACATATCCAAGTTTATGATATGGACTGAGCTGCAGAAGAAAACTTTACCATTACCCCCTATGGAAAATCTTTTGCGCATATTGCCCCATCTATGTCAATTATATATTGATCTTACAAAATGCCAGGTTTCTTGTTCATTTAGTTTATTGCTGTCAAATTTAAGATTTAATCTATTAGTGAAAAAGCTAGATTTTCAGTTTGGATTAAATTCAGGTAGTCACCTTTAAAAATTTCTATAACTTTTATCAATCAAATGGATAAAACTCTACAGCTATCTCAAATATATGTTGGTCTTACAAAATGCCAGGCTATCAATGGTAGTTTGGTTTATTGCTGTCAGTTTAAAAATTTAATTAAGCTGGCTCAGGTGTCTTTCTCTATCTTGGATTTTGAAGTAGCAGATAACAGTTGGTCTAGATCTTTAATAAAATGTGCAAATTTTGAGAGCAGTATGTAATTCATGTGTAAAACTTTTGATGTAAATATAGAAAATTATGTGTTTTATCATATTTACGGCTGTAATTTATAAAAGAACACCATAATGGTGTTTGATTCATTTTTTTCAACTTTGCGATATAAGGGGAGATAACTCAGATAAAATAATGTTTTTAATAGAAAGTATTGTGAATTTACCTTTTATAATATGTAGTAAGAAAACAAGTTCGGTGACCTGGTTTTTTTCTTTTTCTTATCTGAAAGCATGTTATAAGAGCTATTTTCTTATATTTTGTCTTAAAATTCTATCATGTAGTTTTCTTTTTATCCCACAAAACTGGATTTTCCATGCATAATCTATACAAAATCTGACAATTTTGCACAACCTGTAGCATGAAAAAAAGTCCAGTGAGCCATACTTTTTATTATATTTTTGACATTTTATTAAAAAATTCTATGTATTTTAATTAAGAAAAAAAAAATTCTTAACTTTTTCAAATCAACTTGGATTTGATAAAACTCTACACATATCTCAATTATATATTAATCTATCTGAATTTAGTTCAAAATAAAATTTCTTTAAAATAATTTCACCTATTAATTAAATACTTTAATTTGACAGCAATAAACCAAATTGCCAAATAATCTGGCCTTTTGAAAGAACAAGAGAAACTTCAGTACACATGATCATAATAATGTGAATATATATATATTAAAACATTTGCCAATTTAGGAATTTGACCCTATTTTCAAGGTTCACAGAACATCAAATTATGATAGTACAAGTGGGGCATTGTGTTTCCTTGTGAATACACATTCATGTTTTTCTTTTTAATCTATTTTTGCAAACATAATTTGTTGGATAAATTGATTTGCCATTTTTATACCCCTGCTTTTAAAAAGTGGGGGTATACTGTTTTACCTCTGTCTGTCCGTCCGTCCGTCCGTCCGTCCATCCGTCTGTCTTTCCATCCATCCATCCATTCATCAGTCTGTCTGTCTGTCCCATGAATATTTTTCGTCCCATCTTTCTTAGGAACTACATTACAAGGATTTCTGAAACTTAGTTTCAGAGTTTATATGAGTCAGTTATACCATATGATGTATTTTCAGATTCATCTGTTAACCGAACACTTGCATCATTTTACACATGACATCCAAGTTAAAAATATTTGTCACATTTTTCTCACGCACTACATTACAAGGATTTCTGAAATTTGGTTTCAGGGTTTATATGAGTCAGCTATACAGTGTGATGCCTTTTCAGATTAATCACTCAACAACTTCCTGTTTACCAAAAACACTTACATCATTTTACACATGACACCCCAAGTTGAAAATTTTCGTCACATTTTTCTCAGGAAATACATTACAAGGATTTCAGAAATTTGATTTCAGGGTTTATATGAGTCAGCTATACTGTGTGATGCGTTTTCAGATTCATCACTCAACAACTTCCTGTTTACCGAAAACATTTACATATTTTTACACTATTACATGTATTAAGATTATCCAGTTGCGGTGGGGGTATCATCAGTGAGCAGTAGCTAACAGTTTCACTTTTTTGATATGTATGCTACAGAATTTGAAATGTTTATAGTTTCATTTTCAATCATGTCCTGATGCAGCAAGAGCTTATTGTTCGAACACTGGATTGTGTTAAAAATTGGGTGTCACGGTAAAAATCAGTTAGACAAGTTTTTGTATTTATTCAGTAAAGTTACATTGAAAAATGATTTTTATTTGGAATACTTATGGTTTCGTTTTAGTTGGATAATGAAGACTGTTTTTTTATTCCAATCTATGTAAACTGACTTTTTGTTACAAAAAATGGCACAAAAAACTTACCATTATCATTATATTTCATCATCAGAAAAGTTTCTGTTGCATGAAAGACCTACAATGCCACCTTGTAAAAGTCATTGTTGCATCACATTGAAGTCACATAATTTTAATATGAAAATAGTAATATATTATGCACTAGAATCTTACTATTAGTTGGTGCATGACCATTGCAACAAATTAAGGTCTTTGTAAATTAAAAAATTTTGCTTTCAGATGACTAAGAAATGCTATGTTAGTCTGAAGAGATTTTGTATTTCTAAACTGAAAGGTAACATGTTAATACTTAGATATACATTGTATATGTGTTTATATGATATATGAAATCGTTCTATCTTTAAAAGTACAACTATCAGGAAAACTGTTATGGTAGCCAATCTGACAACTATCCTCCAGAAACAAAAGGATGGGAATGTAAACAATAATAAGGCACTGCATGACCTTCAACCATGAGCAAAACCCATATCACATTATAAGCTACAAATCCTTTGTTGTTACAAGTTTCAGCATTATAATTATGACATTGCTGTAAAAATGTTATATGAACCAACATTCTAAATCAACATAAACAATGATTTGAGCTTGTTTTCAGTAACTGCATGTAAGCATTCTATTTATATGTGGCAATTTGTAATTTATTTTGTGTTTATTTTGTATAAAATGATAGAGTTTATTATAATTTGAAGGAGCTATAGGGTAAATGTCAATGAGACAGCAACCCATCAACAAAATTGACAAAAAGACATGTAGACAAGCAACATTAAGTCTTCAAACTGTGTCAACAGAGTCTTTAAAAGTCGTGAATATATTTAACTAGCACAGATCTGTCATTAACAACCATTTCTCCAATTAATATAAAGGTTGTACTAAATTAACATATGGCAACTACTATCAAGGTTCCTGACTCTGGAAAGGGACATGCAAATGTGGGAGATATATTAATTAATTTTGTATTTTGAGATCTTTTAATCTTGATTTGTTAACTTACTATATACAAATCCTACATGCAAAAAAAGATGTTTCTTACATCATAGAATATAAACTTACAGAAAGGATAAGTTATTATCTTTTGATGTATTTTCTTTACAGGTGGAAGATTTAAAGTAGGACAACCTGGTCACATAGGTATGAAACTGATGAAAAACTCTAAATGTATAAGAATTACTTGGCTAGTCCCAAAAAGATTTGAATATGAGTTACTGAATTTTCTTGAATATTGATAATTAGTATTGCATTAATATGAATGATTATTGCCAATGTACTTGTCTGCATTTGGTTAATTAAAAGGATTGTCCTGAATATGCATGAAATATTTGTCACAAAACATATAAACTAAAAAGTGTGAAAGTTTATTTTCCATCTATGAGTTTGACTGTCCCTCTGGTATCTTTCGCCCCTCTTTTGTAAAATATAGGCACACAGGATATACCTGTCCCAATCTGACAAATAGCGATTATGGTAGCCTTTGTGGCAGGGTACATATGTAATAAGACTAATCTTTGTATTTATGAAAGAATTTAGTAAAGGTTTTAAGTAATGAGTGGTAACAAAATCTCTGATCTCTGGAGTGTAGTCTAGTGTATCTGAGTCCAAAGTTCATAAATGTCAACCAAATTGAAAGGACAATCAAAAGCAAGTAATTTGTCAAAAGCAAGTAATTTGTCAAAAACATCCAGAGAGTTTTGAACACTCCAAAAATAATTTTTTACGTTATTTTCATATGCATTATTACAATAGTTAGTGTGTTCTCTTTAAGTAGTAAGGGGACTAGTAAAAAGTACTGAATAATTAGTTGAAGAACGCTGACTTAGATAAACGGAAACTTCATTGTTTTCTTTGTATATAATAGTGTAGGTATCTGACACAGTAAGGACATTTCATTCATTGAACAAATCTTGAACTGAGTTGGTGCAGTGATTTGATTGTTTTTATTTGGCCCTATGGGGTCTAAAAACCTGAATGTAGAAGAACTTTCATTCTTAAGAATTGAAATTGATTGCCTATCACATGAATGATTGACTTGCATATGCATGTAGTAGTGGAAATAAGTTCAGAAAAAAATGTATCATCCCTCATTGAATTATTTTTTTAATTCATTAGGCAGAAAAAGGAATAACAGTAAAGAACACAAAAGGGCAGAATATGTAAGTAGAACTTAACTTCAATAATCATTCTTATTTGCAGATAGCACATATTTTTTTGGTGTGTGTAATGTGAGTTGATCTGACTTGTGATTTCACTCCTTACCACTCTACAACACCTACTTATATACTCTGATCACAATCTATATAAAGCAACAGCAGAATTAGTGACAAATGTAAACTGCATCCACAGATAATAATTATAGTAGTAATCCCATTTCCTTAGACTGTTTAAACATAAGTGAAAACATCTACACAAGTTAACCAACACCTTCTTACCGTACAGGCTGGCAGAGTAATCGGGATGGATACCCATGTATGCTACTGTTGTCTTAAAACCTTGGGAAAATAAAACTATAAAAAGACAACAACATCCTGGATTACTGCATGGAAATGCTTTATTCTGGTCTACATGTTTAGCCACTTATGGTGGTGTCTTCAGGACAATTTAATGATAGGTAACTGTAAGTGATGAAATATACAAAATGCGGTTCATATGAGGTTACGTTACGTCACAATTATTGGTAATACAACATTAAAATTAAACTATTTCTGACGCAATTGGAAGTAGTACCTCATTCATGGTGGAGCCAGTTGAAATGGTACAGGGGATTGTCCATATCTAGTTTCATTTTATTTATCTTAGAAAATTTCAAAATTCTGACTTAATTCAAAGTTTTACAATCATCTGATATAACTTTAACCAACAGATTCTTTATGGAAGTCTAGGCATTACTTTGACATCAGTACCGTTTGTAGTTATGAAGTCTTTCAACAGTATTTTTGTTGAATAGTATAAACCATTTTAAAACCCCTCCATTTAAAACTGTATATTAATAACAGGTTAAGTCAAAATTAGGCAGTTTGATTCCTGGGTTTTTCATGGTACAATTTACACTAAGTGAAGAGTCATTAAAGTGAATATGTTGAATTTTTTTTTAAGAAACATAAGCAATTTTATTTTAATTCTTGACCAAGGACAATTTTTATATGTCTGAATATCAGGTAACCAAAAATATAATTGAATATTTATTTCAAATTTTTTTATTTTATACTTTTTAGATTTCAGGTTTGGAGACTGTGCTGGAATCAGCTCCTGCTTTAAATAAGGATCTAATAATTAGAGATGTGATGGAGGATCAATTAGAAGTTGACACTGTTGATGACACAATTAAACAGCAATATAAAGAGGCACTAAAAGACAGAGTAAGATTATGTTTGAAACATGTAGTTACCTGGAAACTGAAATTAGTATAAGAAGGGTGCTCTAATTCATCTATTTAAATCTTTTCATTTGAAGGTAAAGTATTCACAAATCGAAAGAGCTTTAAGTCCATAGATGACTTATGAATTTGTGCTCTTTCCCATATATTTTTAATGTCACAATAATCACTTTACAACGTTGCAGAATACCTATTTTTCAAATATGTCTTTTACAGCAATTGACCTTTGGTCAACTGGTGTAACTCATTCATTAAAAAAAACTTAAGATTGGCTTATAGGACTAGATCAATTAAATTAAGAAAAAAAATATCAAATGATATCAATTGAAATAGCAGAGCTGTTGAAATATGTTTTGTCTGACAAACATTGACATAATTGCCAGACCTACACTTTTGAGGTAATTTGACTAATTCAGAATAATTATAAGCCAATAACTTTCAAAGCAATTTGGGTTGACATTATTTTGTTGATTTACATTTTTGGGGAAATTTGAAATGCACTGTAGTGGGAAAATATTGAAAATTTAAGTCTTGTTTCAAAAGAGGACATTATTGGCAATTATACCACATCACTTTTTTTTTTATACCCCACTTAGGGGCATTATGTATTTCGGTCTTTGCGTCTGTGCGTCCCTTCTTCATTTGTTCGTTCATCCTTTCGTCCGTTTGTTTGCTGTTCATGCATCCGTCTGTGCCGCTTCAAGTTAAAGTTTTTGGTATTCATAATCTTAATTTCATGGTCCACTGAACATAGAAAATGATAGTGCTCACTTCAGGTTAAAGTTTTTGGTCAAGGTAGTTTTTGATGAAGTTGAAGTCTAATCATCTTGAAACTTAGTACATATGTTCCCTATGATATGATCTTTCTAATTTTAATGCCAAATTAGAGTATTGACCCTTATTTCATGGTCCACTGAATATAGAAATTGATAGTGGGAGTGGGGCATCAGTGTACAATGGACTATTCTTGTTATAACTATGAAAAGCTTGAAGACATTCAAATTTGTTTTTACTTTTGAATTATTAACAGCTACAACAACTACCAGATTTATCACAGCATGTTTCATGTACTGAGACAATTGTACAAGATGATATTCCATTACTACCACCACCACCTCCACCACCAAAATTGAGAGTTCAATCACTCCCACCTAACTGGGAATTTGCAAAAGACTTGGAAGGCAATGTGTACTATTATCATGCTAAAACCAGGTAATTGTTAAAAGGTCTCATCATGTAAGATGTGACTAAAAGCATTAATTTTATATAAAATTGATTCTTTTGCATGGTTCCAACTTTCATGGATATAATGGTTATTATTTTGATTTTTTTTTGCACACCAAACAGCATGCATATTTTTGCCATTAATTTGAAATTAACAATTTAAAAAAATAAAATTTTAAAATCCATGAACAAATGATTTTTCTATTAACCATACATATTTATTAACATATAGTACTGTAAATTCAGAAATTATTGCATGCATTAATTATTGTGATTTTTATAAAATGGACAGAAATGCAAGATTAATTATTGTTTTTTTTTCTGGATAATCTAATACAGATATATATATATATATCAGATATCAGAATGCCAGTTCTTATTTTTAGCTCACCTGGCCCAAAAGGGCCAAGTGAGCTTTTCTCATCACTTGGGGTCTGTCGTCCCTCGTCGTCGTCCGTTAACTTTTACAAAAATCTCATCTGAAACTATTTGGCCAAATATAACCAAAATTGGTCAAAATAATCCTTAGGGTATCTAGTTTAAAAAAATGCATCTGATAACCCCGCCCATCGACCAAGATGGCCACCATGGCTAAAAATAGAACATGGGGGTAAATTGCAGTTTTTGGCTTTTATCTCTGAAACTAAAGCATTAAGAGCAATTCTGACAGGGGTAAAATTGTTCATCAGGTTAAGATCTATCTGCCCTGAAATTTACACACGCATCAGACAACCTGTTGATAGGTTGCTGCCCCTGAATTGGTACTTTTTAGGAAATTTTGCAGTTTTTGGTTATTATCTTGAATGTTATAATAGATAGAGATAAACTATAAACAGCAAAATTGTTCAGTAAAGTAAGATCTACCAATAAGTCAAAATGACCAAATTGGTCAAGTTTTCCCTTAAGGAGTATAGTACTTCATAGTAAATTTTTAACAATTTTTTGTAAATTTTTGTAATCTTTTACAAAAGTTCTCCTCTGAAACTACTGAGACAAATTAAACCAAACTTGACCACAATCATCATTATGGTTTCTATTTAAAAAAAAATGTGTCAGATGACTCCGCTAACCAACCAACATGGCTGACATGGCTAAAAATAGAACATAGGGGTAGAATGCAAGTTTTGTCTATTATTTTTTGAACCATTAGAATAGAGAAAATCTGAATGGAGCAAATATGTTCAGAATAATGAGCTCTACCAATTGTCCATATATGTCAAAACTGTTAGACAAATTCTTATAGGAGTTATTGGCCATAATTGACAAATTTTACCATTTTGTTTTTTCATTTTTGCCTATTATCATGAAAACTATGATATTTACTAGTCTTGTGTAATATTATTTGTCTGTTTGTCTTTTTCTTTTTTAGCCATGGCGTTGTCAGTTTATTTTTGATCTATGAGTTTGACTGTCCCTCTGGTATCTTTCGTCCCTTGTTTTGAGAGAAACATTTTTTTTTGCTGTTATGTCTGATAAGATTTAAATTATAATAGATAAATAAACACTTTAAATCACAAAAATGATCAGCAAGGCAAGATCTATTAATAAGCCAAAGAAACTAAACATACTGAAAGATCAGTAATACAAGATCAACAAAATAGAGATTTTTGTCATGAAGTCTATTCTTGTCTACAATGTTGGAGAGTGTCCTTTGTCTGATATGCCCATAGACCAAGGTGAGCGACATAGGCTCTTTAGAGCCTCTAGTTAATATTATATAATAAAAACCTCTCAATAATTTCTGAATTTACAGTATATGAAACTTATTTGAAGAAACAGATTAATGAGTATATAATTCATGATTATATTTTTTTTATAATAACAAAAACTTCTGTATCTGGTTCAGAATTAGTTGGCATGCAAAGTTGTTGAAAATACATTAAAAGCAAAACAAATGTAATCTATTTCAGACAAACTCAGTGGTCTCTACCAGTTTGGGATGATTGTAACAGTCAAAATGATGTAGATATTAGGACTTCCCTGGTAAGCACATTTGCAGTTTAAACAGGATAACTATGTTTATCTTAATATGGAAATAAAAAGGTATACGAGATATGTCGATGATAAAAGATAAAAAATATGGGAATGGCAAATGAAGCAGATCAGCAATGTTTGTTTTAATTATATGTTTAAGGATGAAGATAAGACAGCAACAAGAAACGAGAATACAAAAAGTGTGACAGGAAATCTCTTAAGTATGGGAACAGAATCTGAAGTAATACCGCCTTATGTAACAGATGATTCAGAATCTACTATGTATGCAGCAACCCGAGTGCCAAGTATGAATGAGGATGACCTATTGGCAAAAGTCTGTAAGTTGTGTTTTAGGTAGACTTAGTAGAGTAAAATTGTAGGTTACGAATAATTTATATGTGACATGTGAATTTGTGTGTAGAAAAACTCTGGCATGTATTTTTTTTATGCAATTGAAAATTTTAAGACATGATTTATATTCATCTAAAAAGTAAGAAGATACCAATGGGATAATCGACCACTAGAGTGCATCATTTACAAATCGAGGAACAAAGACAATAACAAAACAAAACATCAGATTCAGTCCACAACACTTTACACAGAAACTAAAAATTGATCACTTTAACATTTATCTCAATAAGAAAAAAACCTATGTCATTCAACTGTAAGTGTTCAACTTTATCCTTCAACAGATGTAAAATAAAATAAGCAGGTGTCTTCTACTCTGTCCACTATTTTTGGGGAAAGTAAAATCTAAATTTAGAACCATGGATGAACTGAAACTACACATGTATGATAAGAATAGAACACGTTATTTATGCTATATTAAATTCTAATGTCAAAAAGATAGCGAAATTTGTGCTTTTGGTTATCTTTCTAAAGTAGCAAATACAATTTTGAAGTAATGTTTTTCTTCTCAAGTCTCAATTAAAGAAAACGACTGAATAGAGTATAGAGGGACAAAAAAATAATGTGACACTTGTAACTGCAATTTGATATTTGGTGGAATGAGAGGTGAAATGAGTTAAGACTCTTACCGGCTGGATACATTTTGATAGCATTTTAAAAGACTGATTTGTTTTATTTTGTATCCAATTTTCATAATATCTGCAGAAATACTATCAAATTCTATGTTTAACAAACTTGATTATACATGAAGATCTCACACAGTCAGCTCTATTCTATCACCTTGTTCAAATTTTCAGGAGCCGTGGTTTTTTGCATCAATGGATTTGTCTTTGAATTTTGGAATTGTTTATCTTTTTTTTTTTTAAATCTGTGAACCAACATAATAGAAAATTATAATGTAAAAATATCTGGCGATTTTTTAAGATTTTCCTTATGTATCCTATGCATTTTTGGCATCTCATGATGTTAATAAGGGCCCCGCTAAATGTCGGACGCCCTATAGTGATCAGTCTGTCCGTCCGTTCGTCTGTCCGTCCGTCCGTAACAAATTGTGTCCGCTCTATATCTAGAGAAACGTTATGATTTCAACGTTTATACTTGATAAACTTGACATGTATATTAACCAACACCAGAGGGTGTGTCATAATTTATGTACAACTTCCTAGGTCAAAGGTCAAGGTCAAAAACTTTGGTTTCAGTAGACAACCCCATGTCCTATGGTAAAGATCGTGTCCGCTTAATATCTTGAGAACCGTTATGATTTCAAAGTTTATACTTGACATGTATATAAACCAACACCAGAGGGTGTGTCATAATTTATGTACAACTTCCTAGGTCAAAGGTCAAGGTCAAAAACTTTGGTTTCAGTTGACAACCCCATATCCACACGTTATTCACAGTTTATACTTGACATGTATATAAACCAACACCAGAGGGTGTGTCATAATTTATGTACAACTTCCTAGGTCAAAGGTCAAAGGTCAAGGTTAGAAACTTTGGTTTTAGTTGACAACCCCATGTCCACACATTATTCACAGCGGGGCCCACAGAGATGGCTCCCATCTCAATGCAGGGCTCGACAATAACGCTTGTCCGATTGTCCGGTACTAGAGGAAAAAAAGGTTGGACAAGTAAAAGCCATATCAAGCTTGTCCGACGGGACAAGTAAAATCCAACTTTGATGATCAAAGTAGTAAACAAAAAACCAGAACAGAAGATAAAAACAAGTATCAATTTGATATGTTTACTTGCAATCGATAATTTAAAACTGGTTCTTTGTCAGATACTTTATAATAGATTCTGGGAAACAAGTCTTACCAATCATCCAGTGGCTTTGTTATAAGGTAACCAGACAGTTCGGCACTGGTTCGGTTGAAGACATTTCGAGACCAATACAAACCAGTACCTTGTTTCCCTATGTTTTTCTGTTGCTTTATACTAAATTTATGATTAGTTTTATTTAACAAAAATAATTTAAAAATGAAATGAAGAAATTATTGACCATGACATTCAGAAAATCATATTTGATCATATTTAGACAAACAATATTTGATTGTGTTTGAATAAACGTTTTTTATATATTAAAAACAAGTGTGGACACAGATGAATGTGGATAGTATGTTTGGATGTTTGACAGTGTTTTATATGACAAAAGGAGTTCTATGTTTTTCCTATATGGTGTTATTAACTGTGTTGCACGATGACAACCAACCTGAGCATGAGGAGTGTTGTTTATTTAATATTAAGATTTTATGTTCAAGAGGGCATGGAAGAGACACTAATTGCATTAATGACCAAATGATAATGATAGAATATTTTCCACATCTTTGATTTTGGATAAATTTTGTAGTTAGGAGAGCAACACATAATAGGTTCATTTTTTCATGTGATTTTTTTTTAAATGGGAGATGATATCTGTGAACATGATATCAGGAGGCTGTAATTCAGTGGTTGTCGTTTGTCTATGTGTTACATAATATTTGTTTTTCGTTTATTTTGTGTACATAAATAACATAAATGACTATGCGTTATGGGCTTTGCTCATTGTTGAAGGCTGTACGGTGACCCGTAGTTGTTAATTTCTGTGTCATTTTGGTCTGTTGTGGAGAATTGTCTCATTGGCAATCATACCACATCTTTTTTATATGTATTTGCTCACTATTTGTATGGTTCTATTTATATTACTTTGTGGTGGATTGTCAGTATCATTAGTAAAATATTTTGTTAAAATGTCGAAATTGTTTCTCAGATTAGAAGACATTTATTGGTTTTTAGTAATGAAAATGCCTGACATGATGCTTGGGGCTAGATGAGCTAGAAAGTAAACTTCTGTGTTGTTTTTTATCAATTCTTTGATAACATCTCTTCCAAAGCTGGCCTAAGCAAAAAAAGTTTTGACCAATATGAAAACGATATATATCAACAAAAAAACCTTTGTGAGCATGCTTCAAAGACTCATAACTGCTCCAAAAGTAATCTGATAGAATTTCAAGCATGTCAAGTGGGTATTATGAAAATCTACTTAATATGTCTAAATATCAAAAAAGTTATAGTATTCAATATGAAAAAGGTATTGCAAAATTATTCTCTTTTTAAATTTTTTTGTTTTATGGATACAAATATAAGTGATACCAATACAGTATTTGTTGTGGTATGAAAGTGTAGTAATTAACATTTACTGTAACAATGTTAATTCACACAAATTAAGAAATAAACAAATGAATGAAAAATGTTGAACATGTACAATGAAATATAGTTTTAGAAATCAATTAGGCCAGATAGGCCTTATAAATTTTTTTTTTTTTTTTTAACATACTGAATGACCATTTACACTCAGGACCGAGTCATCAGTAGGCAGTACAGATGTATTAAAACAACCTAGCATCATATTGCTAGTAGCGAGTGTAGCATTGTCCGGTAAATTTGTTCTTTTTTTAAAATTTGGTTAAAGGACAAAAAATGTTTGGTTCAAATCATAATAAAATGCTTTTATCTCCTTATTACTTACATTGTACATAGAATGGATACTACCCTGACAAATCCTTGTACATGAGAGTTGTCTGTCAAATCTTTATTTCACAAAGAATGAATTGCATAACAATGAACTGAGCTCAAAGCAAAGCACTTTAATAATACACTTAGACAAAGAGCTCAATCCAGTGATATACTTTGTACTACAGGTCCTTCATGAACATCCTATCCACCAAAACCATATCTCACAAACATGCCATACTACATGTACATGGTTCGATCAGAAGTCCTGAAAAAGATATGAATTTTATTATCATATTTTAATTATACATACACAGGTTAAAAGATATATACTCCAATGGCAGTCTTTCCTGCTAAAATGTCATGTGTAGAATGTGATATACCATTTTTGGGTCTATATGGGTACTGTCCTTTATATTCATAAGGTCATTTTGACACAGCAAAATATATAGAAAATGTTAACTTTGATCTGGAAATTGAGTTCTTTTTCGCAAAATAAACCCACTAAAACTAAACTTTGAATGCAAAAGACCCCTAAATGGCTAACAGATATTGCTATAAAAAATAGTCCATGATGATTATTGTTATTAAAGAGTTCATGGAATGTACACTGATTCTGTCAGTTGAATGGACTAGAATGAGATGAGTTATATAAACATAAAGGTTTTTTCAACAGTTGTGGTGTAAATTAAATCAGTTTTATTTTATGGTTGACATATTTAAGTATATATGTAGATCATTGGCTTTTCAACACATTGATATTTAACAATATCGATTATCTATTTATTGTTATATTGTTGGTATTTTTCACCTTCCTAAGACAGTTTTAACGCAACATGAACGCAAGCTTAATAGGGTGTCCTCACATATTTTGACGTTGCTGAAAAATTTTGGTTGACATATGTATCCTCTTCTCATCGTTTTTCGTGCTATTAAGAATGCATACTGTCGTCACAATTTCCATTGAAAAGGCATGCATAGTACAAATTCATAAGACGTACGAAAACATATGATCTGACCATATACATGTACATGTATGTATAGGTTATCAGCTTTTCTACACATATTAGCCAGTAAGCCACAATGAACCTATTATGGCGAGTGAGCGCAGCTAATGAGCTAAAATGAATCAAATTGTGTCCTCAGTGGGGGATATTTTAAGGAATCTATATGAAGAAAACCTGATAATCTGTTTATCGTTCTATTACTGGCTTTTTCACCTCCCTAACTTGGCCTAAGACAGTTTTTACAGACGAAAGCAAGCTTGATCACTACTCCTCACACACATGTATAGATTATCGGCTTTTCTACACGAGTCATGAATATCGTAAAATGTTAGCCAGTGAGCAGGCCCGCAATGAAACTTTTTAGCAAGTGAGCCCAGCTAATGAGCTAAAATGAATCAAATTGTGTACTCAGTCACAGTTGGTGATATTTTAAGGTATCTACACAAAGAAAACCTGCTTATATAAATCTCAGTGGCAGATCCACAACTTTTCATAAAAGGGGGTGGCTGCTGACTGACCTAAGGGTTGCCCACTCCCGTCATGCTTCCCCAGTGGCGGATCCGGGGGGACAGTTCCGAGGGTTGGAACCCCCCCCTTTTTTTGGACGATCAATGCATTTGAATGGGGACACATAGTTGGAACACCCCCCCCCCCCAAGTTTGGAACTCCCCTTTTATAAAATGGCTGGATCCGCCCCTGCTTCCCTATAAAATCAACCAAATTTTCCCCACCCCCTGGATCTGTCTATGTAACTGTTTATCGTTCTGCGTAATACTGGCTTTTTCACCTCCCTTACTTGGGAGCGTCTTTTTACCACAGAATACCACAGAACACCACAGAACACCCAAAATTTACCACAAAACTTCGAAATAATAATACATCAGACATTATTTTCGTGGTATTGTTAATTTTCTCTATAATTTGACATTTATTTTTCAATTAAAATTTATATTTTTTCTATTTAATTTAAGAATAAAATTTTTATGATAATAAAATTCAAGATTAAAATGTGAACCGATGATCACCATCATTTTAGTTGGAAATTAAAATTATTGTCTTATAGGTTTATTAATTTCACAGAATAAATAGTTACATATGAGAAATATTAGCTCTTTCTTAATTTCACGAAAAAAATATTGTAAAACAATAGAGTTATTAACACTTTTTATCGATCAGTTCAATATATTCAAAGCGTATATTGATCAGCGATTGAGAAAACGGTACAGTAATTTTTTTGTTGCTAAAAACTATTTTTTTAAATGTTTATTTTAGATTTTCATTATTACAATGCATTAGTTTAGTGTCTCAAAGGTCTCCAAATGTAAACAAAATATGGCAAATAACAAAAAAGTTATGATCATTTTTATCTCATCCAGTCAATCATCATGTCATTGGTGTAACCCGAATTAAAGAAATAATATAATTCGAAATTATTAGATTTGCGTTTTATAAAGTAATTTTACTGTTCAGTGGCATATTTCAGTAGTTTTGTTGTAATTTGTGTAGTTCTATGGTACATTTTGAGTGTTCTGTGGTATTCTGTGGTGTTCTGTGGTAAAAAGACGCTCCGCCCTTACTTGGCCCTAGACAGTTGCTTATCTGTTTATCGTTCTGTCACTGGCTTTTTTTTTTTTAGATTAGAGACTTCATGTGTACAAACCTGACGTCAAACTCGTGTACTATAAAAGAAGAGACAAATAATTTCACATTAAATCCTTTAACATTACATCTAAAGATAATTATAATCCAAAGTAAATAGACAATAATAGTGCATTGACTTGACATATCAACGATATAAGGATGAGGCTTAGAAACGGGGAAATGCGAGGCTCTGCCGAGCTTTTTCCCCGTTTCGGGCCGAATCCTTATATCGATGATATGTCAAGTCAATGCACTATTATTGTCTTTATACTGCAATCTAAAAAAAAACATTTTCAATTGTTGTTTAATGTGTTAATGTTATTATTTGATTTAAATATTGGGAAACTTCCCCCTTTTATAAAAAGGCCTCATATCATGCAGGCGGAGAAATATACAACACAATGAAATGTACATTACCTGTTGAAACCCGCAATCGATGGTGAACGAATTTGTTTGAGAATGAACTAAAATATCAACAATAAGCATAAAACATAATGATTTATAGTTTGCAAACCAAAAATATTAACAAATGAAATATGTTTTTTTTCTAAAAATTGCAAAAGAAATAAGTTTGAGTCGTTGTATACATTGGAAACAAGAACAGGTTGAATAGGTCGTATGAATAATTAATTATAATTTCGGCAATTTCTATTTAAATATTCATGAGGAAAAGTGATATCAGGTCAGTGACTGTATATGACATAGAAATATACGGTCAACGCATTTTGACTGCTCAAATAGAACGAGTGCAGTATAAATTATATTACGATGTCAATGGACTAATTTCCCGCGCAAATGTCATCACTGGGATAGACTAAAACGAATTTTAGGTTTATGTATCATTCACATTCCGATCAATTTACTCAGTTAAATAAAATATATGTGTTAACTATTTTTATATTGGTTTTGAATTTAGTTAATCTATCAGAAAAAAGGATTTATTTCTCGCAGATAGCCCTCAATACTATACACCAACTCGACACTGAAGCTAAAAAACCCTAAAACATAATGGTATATGGAATCGTCCAAACGGATTACCTATAATATTGATATACTAGGTGAAATATGTAGATTCAGAATTGTGTACACAGAAATAAGATCAGAAATAAAGCCCTATGTAAGGTGAAAACAATAACACAACTGTATAAAATCATTGTTTGTTAAATTTGCTTGCATAAGAACCATGAAGTTAAAATTTATAACGATTACGTTTATCCTGTCAACCCCTTTTCTTCATTGCATCAAGGCTTCCGTTGCTTTACATCGAGCAGCAATTCAACCAATCGGGGAATGTTAAGTTGGGACATACCTCTATTTTTGGAAGCGTGATCTTTACATCGAGGCTTGCGTTGCTTTACACCGAGGCCACAGTAGTTCGACCAATCGGGGAATGTTTATTTGGGGCATGTGACCTATTGAACTGCAGGTTTTATAATATTTTAATCGAAATTGTAGAAAAATGAAATGTTGTTAGTACATACAAAACAGAAAATGATGAATACTTTACGTAAAAGATAATTTGGATCCGGGTTCTGTGTATTCACATCATTTGTACAACTCTCCTTACTGATGCCATTTTTTGGAATTTCTGTGACCTAAATGGTTCGCGAAAATTAATATTTTATTATATATATAGTAACAAAGCTGATTGTAGTAAGGCATTAATCATAATAATCAATATTCTATCAACATAAAAGACCAGGATGCAAAACAAGTGAGTGTAGACGGACAGGCATACCAGATCTAGACTGTGCCTGATGTGCAGAGTCTGATACACTTTGGCATTGATAATAACTAGAACCTAAGTCCTTTGACTAGACATGACAAGATTCAGTTGTTCTTGACTCATATTTTTGAAAAGGATATCAAGAGATATAATCAAATTCTGATCTATTGTTTTAATTCATTTTGTTTCATTGAATCAACCTTAAATGCAAAACAGGTTAATATAAAGGTTTTTTTTTGGACAAGTTGAAATTCCATTCAGACAAGTAAGTTTTGGTATGTACTTGTCCTATTGGACAAGTTGAAAAAAAAGTTATTGTAGAGGCCTGCAATGATATCTAGTTTCCACAGCTTGTATCTCAAAAACAAAAACGGTTACCCCTTTTTTATTTTATTTTCTGCTGTACTTTTACAAGCAGAATCCAAATGTGAAATTTAAAAAAAATCTGTGGTGTGGTTAAGTATGTACACTTCGCCTTCATTGAAACTTTGCCTTTTTATGCCCCACTTAAGGGCATAATGTGTTTTCGTAGGTGCGTCCCTTCGCTCATCCGTTCATCCATTCGTTCGTTTGTCTGTTCTTCCGTCTGTCCCACTTCAGGTTAAAGATTTTTAAAGGTCCAGTGAACATAGAAAATGATAGTGCTAGTGGGGCATCAGTGTACTATGGACACATTATTGTTTGAAATTTTTATAGAAACAACGTATTTGTTGTCTTGATAACAGATAATTTATGTATTTTGTATGCATGGAATTTGTTGATATGCCATAATGTGTGTCTATATTGTTGTATGGTTGACTCAAATGGCTCATTAAAGCTTGAGTTATATAAAAGGATATGTTAGATATATATATATATATGTCAATGAGATAGCAAACCAGTAACAAAAGTAACCAAAAGACATCCAATATGAATCTTGAACTCTTACAGTTTATATTTTATTAACATGCAGTGTTATATGAGGTATTATTTCTGTTTAAAGGTATTTCAGAATTATGGAAGTGGGACAAAGTTGACATGAATGTCACAGTTGGTAAAATTGAGAACATCAATGTAACATTGGAAAGCTTATTTTTTATGAGAGGTTTTTTGCCAGATGAGGTATGATGTAAAAGATAGATATAAGAAGATGTGGTATGAGTGCCAATGAGACAACTCTCCATCCAAGTCAAAATTTATAAAAGTAAACCATTATAGGTCACAGTACGGTCTTCAACACGGAGCCTTGGCTCACACGGAACAGTAAGCTATAAAGGACCCCAAAAATTACTAGTGTAAAACCATTCAAACGGGAAAACCAACGGTCTAATCTATATAAAAAACGAGAAACGAGAAACACTTATGAACCACATCAACAAACGACAACTACTGAACATCAGATTCCTGACTTAGGACAGGTGCAAACAAATGCAGCGGGTTTAAACGTTTTAATGGTACCAAACCTTCACCCTTTTTCTGAAACAATAGTGTAACATCACAACATAGAAAGACACATTATAAAATATCAACTGAAATAGCTTAACTCAATCAAAGGACATATTAACACCATTGAACATACACTGAACAAATAAATTTGACCTATGATACAATGTAAATACAAATAGATAAACTAAGGGAAGAATAATAAAAGTAACATGTTATATTGGTATGAAAAGTTAAACAATTAAAGAAAAACAATATGCTTGAACAAAAATATCAGCCATTTGCAATAACTTTAAACACAGGTAAATGAAAATAATTTTGTTGTTAGGTATACGTGTACAGTTCCAATAGAGAATGGAAATATTTTTACAAAATAAATAATTTTGATGTTCATAGTACGAAATGAAAATTTATAGTAATACCAAACACTTATAAAAGCTGGTACATAGACCAGATATAACCCTGAATAACATTAAATAACAAAAAAGCAATACAATTAGTAACAACAGGTCAAATAAACAAGAAAGTACGATTTGAGAGTACTCGCAGTTACTGACAGCTAGTTAAAAGCCAAAACAATTAATAAAAAATCATGCATCAGAGACTAAAATCAACTAAAACACATCCCAGGGATTTAGTATTTTAACGTCATGGACAGTCAAAGAAGACATGACTAGTGCAATGCCAAAAATAAATGTATCAACAGACAGTAGGATAGTTAGGAGTTTAACCTCTTTATAGATCAAAACGAACGTGGGTGTGTCTTTATACATCCCGTTGGAAAAGAATACAAATTTAGTTATGTTTTAATTTGCTGATGACAAAATCGATATTAGTGCCAATGTAAACTATATTCAAAGATCTAATTACAACATTGGTAAGATAACCTTTACTAATAAGTTTGTTTAAAGGTTCAATGAGTTTACACGGACCACATAGTGATTTCCTCGCTTTAAGTACAATATTACCGTAAAATTTAGGATGTGAAATACCGTTTTTAATCAGTTTTCTACAAGTACAGCCAAATTTACTAATCAAATCTGTATCTATGAAAGAACTTAGCAAAAGTTTTACGTAATTTATGGTAACGAAATCCCTGATTTAATAATTTACCAGTGATGCATTGATTACATTAAAAATCTATGACATCAGTACACACACGGGCATAACGAATGAGTTGGGATATATAAACACCGTATGATGGAGCCAAAGGAACATCGCCGTCTAAAAAAGGAAAATTAACAATAGGGAATGAAAAATCGTCTCTTTTGTCGTAAATTTTCGTATGGAGTTTTCCTTTAGAGAATGAAATGTCCAAATCCAGAAAAGGACAACTACTGCTGTTTATGTTAGATTTAGTTAAAGTAAGTTCAATTGGGTAGATTTCGGTAGTATATTTAGAGAACTCTGGATTATTTAACGAAAAAATATCATCTAGATAACGGAAGGTATTGTTGAATGTATCAACCAAATGTAACAATGACGTGTCTTTACTGAGTTTGGTCATAAACTGAGATTCATAGCAATACAGGAATAAATCTGCTATTAAAGGGGCGCAGTTAGTGCCCATAGGAATACCTACTACTTGTCGATACACTTTATCGCCAAAACGTACATATATGTTGTCCAGGAGAAAATTTAAAGCTTCAATCATATCTTCACATTTCCAGTAAGTGTATCTAGCATACTTTCCTTTTTCGTTACAGAAAAAGGCTTTAAACGAGTTACAGTAAATAAATTTGTAATGAGATTTTTCAAAAGACCATTTAATTAAATATGAAAACTTTTTCTTGATAAGATTGTGTGGAAGTGTAGTATAGAGAGTAGAAAAATCATAACTGTCAACAGAATTAAAAGGACCATCAAAAGCATGTACTTTATCTAAAACCTCTAAAGAATTTTTAACACTCCAAAAATAATTAATACCATTATTTTCATAAGCTTTATTACAAAAGTTAATAACAAGTTCTTTGATAGTAGTAAAGGAGGTAGTTAGAAGCACTGATAGATTGGTAGTAGAACATTTACTAGATGCGGAGATGAAACGGAATTTAAATGGTTTTTTGTGCAATTTAGGTAACCAGTACATAGTAGGGACTTTCAAATGTTCGGAAGAGGCTTAAAGCTGGGTAGTGGCAGTGATATGCTGGTTTACAATTTGACTCTCTGTGGAGCGTATGGACCTGAATGTAGATGAATTTGTAATTTCTTTTTGGAGAACTTCCGTGTAGTATATGCGTCACACGGACCCTATTACTAATTTCAGAATTGTTTTCAAAATGAGATATACGAATATTAACAGTATTCATAATTTTATTCAAATAACTGTCTAGAGATTTTTTATCAGATTTTTCACGTTTACACCAATTTTTACAGTAGACAGACAGAGCGTCTTTAATGATCTGACGATTTTTTTATGAGAGGTTTTTTGCCAGATGAGGTATGATGTAAACGACCATGTTTTATTCATTAAGCTAAATATGTCATCATTAAGACACATGCTATGAAGCTGATTAAGGGATTTACATGCAATTTCAAAGCCATGCAATTTTTAGCTCACCGTTCCGAAGGAACGGTGAGCTTTTGCCATCACTTGGCGTCCGTCGTCGTCTGTTGTCGTCTGTCGTCGTCGTCCATCTGGTGTAAATTATTTCAAACATCTTCTCCTCTGAAACTACTGAACCAATTCCAACCGGACTTAAGCTGAATGATGCTTAGGGTATCTAGAATAATTTTGTGTTTTATTTACTGTTTCGTCAAATAACATGGCCGCCATGGCTAAAAATAGAACATAGGGCCGGGGTAAAATGCATTCATTAGGTGAAGTTCTATCAGCCCTGAAATTTTCAGTTGAATCTAACAACCCATTGTTGGATTGCTGCCACTTAATTGGTAATTTTAAGGAAATTTTGCAGATTTTGGTTATCTTGAATATTATTAATGATAAAGATAAACTGTAAACAGCAAAAATATTCAGCAAAGTAAGATCTCCAAATAAGTTCGTATGACCAAAATTGTCAATTGTCCCCTTAAGGAGTTATTGCCCTTTAAAATCAATTTTTCACAATTTGTTCATTTAGTTTGCTTACTTTAAAAAATCTTCTCCTTTGAAACTGCTGAATCAATTTCAGCCAAACTTGGGCTGAATGAGTTTCAAAGTATCTAGTATAAATTTTGTATTTTATTTTCTTGTACGTCAAGAAACATAGCTACTATGGCTAATATGAAACATAGGGGTAAAATGCATTTCTTTGATTTTGAAGAAAATATGACAGATACAAAAAACTTTTCAATGGAAGTTTTAAGCCATCTCTTTAATAAATGAACATGGTTAGCACATGCATCACCCAGTGGTGAAATTAAAGGTTTCATTACAGGTTTCATGCTATAATTTATTTGCCTTGTGTTTGAGCTAATTTTGACATGATTGAACTTAATTGACAGCTAATTTTATTTCAATATATCACTTTTGTAATGTTTGAAAAAAAAATCATATTTCATTTTTTATACGACCGCAAAAAAAGTTGCATTTGTATAATGCTATCATGTCTTCGTCGTCAGTTGTGTTGTCTGTGTCCTTGTTGTCGTCGTCCGAAGACATATTTGGTTTCTGGACAATAACTTAAGTTTAAGTGAATGGATCTCTATGAAATTTTACGAGAAGGTTCAATACCACAAAAATAAGGTTGGAATTGATTTTGGGGGTTATGGTACCAACAGTTTAGGAATTAGGGACCAAAAAGGGACCAAAAAGAAACATTTTTGTAGTTTCCGCACAATAACTTGTGTGTATAGATCTCTCTGAAATTGTACCACAAGGTTCCATATCACAAAGGGAAGGCTGGGATTGAGTTTTGGTGTAATTGCCTAATCTTTCAGGAATTAGGGGCAAAGAAGGGGCCAAAAACAAGCATTTTTCTTGTTTCCAGACAATAACTTGTGTTTATATGCATGGATCTCTCTGAAATTGTACTACAAGGTTCCATATCACAAAGGGAAGGCTTGGATTGAGTTTGGGGGTAATTGGCGGGGGGGTTAAAAGATTTGATTTTTTTTTCAATTCTGTATTTTACTTATAAATGGACTTTCTTTCTACACCACTGTTTCATGGAAACACCCACAAACCTGTAATATAAGGCTGTTGGTTTTTTTTCTTTGAATTGTTTCTCCTTTTTTCATGTCAAGCTTTTCATAGCCGACTATACAATAAGGGTTTTGTCAATTTTTGAAGGTTGAACAGTGGCCTATAGTTGCTTTAATCCACATTATTTGGACTCCTGATTTTATATAATACTGTATGAAGGCCCTATGAAAAATGGGGAAACTTCTATTACGACAAATTTAGAATTCTCCATACACTTTCACTGTACAAAAACACTCATCTAGAGAAGGAATTTTATAATGCCTTCCCTGTTCCAATTTAAATTTAAATGGAACAGCTCTGATCTAAAGAAACAGATGGGAACATAGTAGGAACATAATAACATTTAAGGCTGTTGAAAATAAGTACATACAGCTGTTACTTTTTCTTTCCTTTATTAGTCCTCACCATTGACTTATTTTATATTTTAGTTTGATCCTATTGGAATTGTGAAGGAATATTTTCCTTTGTGAAAAATCCTAACTATAGGAGGGTGTAGTACACCTTGTATAACACAGGTCCCTGGCGAATGTAATATAGGAGG